CTTGCGCAAAACACTTTTTAAAAAATAACATACGATTTCCTTCCCTCTCACCTTCTCTCTCTCTCTCTCTCTCTCTCTCTGGTCTGAAGGATGAGCTCCTTCCAGAACGAGCCCTGCTTCCTACCTTTGGCACAGATGAGGCGACAGGAATGCCTCGGAGGCCGCCACGGCCACGCGGGATGCTGCGCCCGGCTGGAGTTCTAGGGGCCCGTCCACGTCACGGTGTGGCCGCCAGCTGTTCTCTTCGCAGCTAAGCATTTGGGCTGGATTCATCCTTCCTATTCCCCCCCCACACACACACACACAGAGCGCCGACTCTCCTCATGAATTAGCAACAGACACCCGAGCAGCAGGAGGTGGTTTTTCAGTTTTTGTTTTCTCCGCGCAAACATGTTTTCTCCTCGCAAACAGCTTGTGGCAGCCCCGGCTGTTGCTCGTGGGCCTTTTGCAGGAGGAGGGCACGGGGCCGCGGGGGAGAATCCTGACCCTCTTCCACATGGGCCCCACTGGAGCTGGGGTGGAGTGATCTGCGGAACTCAGGGCAGCTTGAAAGCAAAGCCTGGGGGAGGATGACTGGGATGGGGGGGGGGGGGAGAGAGAGAGAGAACGGAGCTGAGAGAGGAAAGAAACCCGAAGCAGGATGGATAAGAGCCAGCAAGAAAAGCACACTAATGTTTTTTGTGCCAAACATGGCAAGTCCTGGCACTGAAGTGCAGGGGGGGGGGAGATGGCCCCAGGATTTGGCCCCCAGAAGGAGGGGGTGGGGGCTGCTCACCCTGAGCCGGCAGGGTCCAGGTGCCCCGGGGCGTAACTCCTATCCCCTCCAGCTGGCATTTTGCGTTTTGCGGCCTCCAGCATACCTGGAGGGCCCAAGGGTGGCTAGCTGCTCTGTATTGGGTGTGTCTGTGTGGCTGAGCCAAAGAGAAATGGGAAGGTGGGGGGAGAGAGAGAGAGAAAGGCAAGCGCTGCGGGTCCCCCTTCTTCTGGGATGGAAGAAGCCACGTTGGCCCCAGCCGCTGCCGGGCCAGCTCCTCCAGGAGGAGGCCTGGAGAGGATTGGGACCCCGAAGCCTTTGAGGGGGTGTCCGGTCTCTTTCTGGCCCCTCTCTGCAGTGTCCTGGCCACCCCAGGCACCCCCACCATGGCCTCTGGAAGGATCCTTGAAAGAGGGGGAATGAGGAAGAGACAGACAAGATAGCAACGTCACACTGGCAGGCAGAGGCCGGCAAGGAAGGCCAGCTGGCAGGGTGCTTCTTCCGCGCCCCCCGCCCCGGGTTCTCACCACTGCTGGCCAGCAGTGCCCGGTGTGGTGGTCACAGCCCTGGGTGGGCGAGGCTGGCCACGGAAGCAAAGGATGCTGGTGAGCCATCCGGCTCCTTCCCCGCCACTGAACATGAGCACATTTCATGGGGAGCTCAACATTTCACACGAGGAGGAGGAGGAGGAGGAGGAGTTCCCCCATAGGGAACATTGCAAAGTGCAGCCTGGTTCTCCTCCTCTTCTTCTCCCCCCCCCTTCCTCCCTCCACCCGACAACTCTCCTCTCCCTCAATCCTGATGCAGGCAGTGTCACAACAGCACCCTGGAGAGGAGAGGTGGCGAAGGGGTGGGGGGGGAACACGGTGTCTGTGAATTAAGGGGCTTGGTGGGGGGCAGGCGGGCAGAGGAGAGGGATTAGAAGCATCTGGCTGACGGAAGATGGACTTTGCATCCTGGGGTGGGTTTTTTCCAGGATGTGTGTGTGATATGGCCTGAAACTGTGGGGCGCTCTGTCTGTTCCAGCCTTGATCCTGGGGGGGGGGGAGGCTCCTGTCTTTCTCCCTCCGGCCACCTTCTCCCTTTCCCACCTTACCCCCTTCCCTGAGCC